CATGCACTGTCCTTTTATTTATAAAGCCTGACTTTATTTTATTTAAGAATATGGGCATGTGTGGGTGTGTGTACCCCAAGTGCAGGTGACCACAGAGGCTAGAGGCTTCAGATCCTCCAGAGCTGGAGTTATAGACAGTTGGGAGTCCCCATGATGGGTGCTGGGGCCAAACTCAGGTCCTCTGGGGAAGCAATATACACTCTTAACCACTGTGGCATCTCTTCAGCTCCTCTTTTATTTTTGAGCATTACATACTTAACTTGTACCTTTATCTAGATAAACAGCACAATCTTACTAACTTCCATTTGAGGGATATATAATCTTCATAACTGAAAAACTCATCAACCAAAATTTAATAGAGCTATAATAAGAACTTATTACTAAAATAAAGTTCTCAGTGTCTATATACTTTTAATCACATTTTCCTGTTCAAAGGTGAGAGTGTGTATGTGTGTATGCATGCACGCTTACACACACACACACACACACACACACACACACACACCTGAAAAAATCCAGACTTAAGAATGGCACCCAGTAAAAGAAATACAGAAGCTGGGTGTCAATGACTCCCATGTTTCTGTATGTCATTTTGACAATTCTTTTCTACTTTAATCTACTGCACTCCTCCATATCCATATCCATATCCATTTCCATTTCCATATCTATCTATCTATCTATCTATCTATCTATCTATCTATCTATCTATCTATCTATGTTTGGCTATTTGTTATTCAGAACATGCTATTCAACAAACCACAAATACAAAAAGAAAAAAGAAAATAGGGAGAAAGGAAGGAAGGGAAGGATAATGCAGCCCCTGCTATCATGATGATCAAAATATTACAAAAGATGAAACTTCCTAGGACAAGTGAAAACAAGGAATAGACATTTACACACACCAATAACGAGTAAGTATGTGGCAATATTCAAAAGAAAAATGTCAGATCCCAAGTGGGGTGGGAAATGGGAACTATAAAGAGGTTTTGCTAAAGGGCATAATATATGGGTTGGTTATAAAGGTGCAGAGGCAAAGACATTGCAGGTAAAATGTGTGGCATGTATGTAACAAAGACATGCAATGGGAAACTCCTGGGCATATCTGGAATATCACCTTGAAGTGTGATCTAAGCATGTCTATATAGAGGAGCAGTTGAAATGAAGCCAGAAAGTGAGACAAGAGCCAGGTGACACGTGAATGGCGGCACGAAGGAGAGAGTACTCGTGAGGGTGCCTGAAGACACCTGGTCACCCGTGTCTTCTGAGCTGTGTGATATCCCACTTGCCATTTCAGCTCCCAAACACTTCTGCTTCAATGTCACCCACATCTGCCTTTCCACCTTCTCCCTCGACAGCACCAGCCACTTCTCTTCTCACTGCTACAATATCAATAATGATATACTTACAGAAGTGGGTGCATGTGTGTTTTTTCAGGTTCAAAGACCGTCAGCTCTGGAGCAAGAACAGCATCCTTTGATTTAAAACACACTGAGCTTCACCTCAGTGATCAAAGCATACCCCTGGCACTAAGTAATTATAAGTGAAATATAGGAGACACATCTTATGACTTACACTCCTGCTATTTTCATAGTTTAATCACTGGTACTACCCTGTCAAAGCTAAGTACTTTCTTTTTGGTAAACTGTCAACTAGGATTTACATTAAGATGGGTATGGAAATTACAAAAACGTTCCACTCCCTCCTCTTTCATTGACATATTCCTTCCTGTGTGATACACAGGATGGAATGGAGCCAATCTGACATAGTCACGGTGGGACATACATCCAGGCAAGCTAGAGCAATTGGTCATCTCATAATCACACAAATGTGAGTTGACTTAGTCAAAGACTCTGCCTCAGAATATCCCCCAAACACAGCTTCTCATCTCCATTCTGAAGCAGATACTCTGGGCTTCCAGTTAAGAAACTAGTCTCTTCATAGACTAGCCAGTTAAAAAACAAACAAAAAAAAAACAAACAAACAAAAACCTTCTTTGGTACCTTCCCAAATGACATGCGAGTCTCTTAACTTTCAAGCCCATTTTTCTGCTACTCTTACCAAGTATCTGCTTGTTGTGTGTTATGAAATATTCTAAAAACGTGCAAGAAAGAATTAAATATACACCAAATCTAAAGTAAAACAAAACAAAACAAAACAAACAAACAGTAAAACCCTTGTTCTTGTGAGAGCTTTAACTGTACAGTTTAGAGGGGAGATATGAATGAAGAAATGCAATGAAGAGTAGAGAATGAGGTAGGGTGGTCAAGGTAGGCCTTAATGAAAAGGAGTATTTGAGCAGACACTTGAAAAAGGAGAAAGGCTGCTGTGAGGCTGAAAACCAGAGCCCAGGATAAGAGCAAGGCTAGTTTTCACAGACTGTTAGGAGACTGGGGTAGCTGATGTAAAATGGGTGGAGAGGGCGAGAAGAGACAAGGACGGAGACAAAGAATACTGAGTGATCATGGAGGTCTCTACTGACCATTACAAAGACTTGAATTTTATTCTGAACAAGACAGAAAACACTTGAGACACTAGGAGCAAGGAATGGCATGATTCAGAGTTTAAAAGACCTGCTGCAGAGCTGGCTCCTGGCTGAAGAGACTAGGGTGGGAAGCAGGACTCTAGAGGACAGCAACTGCAATAAAGGAGATGAGAAAGCATGGCCACTTGTGTGGCTTGCGTAAGGTCAAGGTTAGAATACAGAAAAGAAGGATTTTGAAGGTAGTATCTGCAAGATATCCTGAGACATTGGCTGTGGAGCAGAAGGTTTTTGGACCAAGGAAAGACAGTGAGGTAAGTGTGGCATTACCTGAGCTAAGAGAATACTGGGAGAGATCTGGAGTTGCTTCTGGTATGTTGGACAAATAGTATATAATGTATGAGTGTGTATAGAGTTCATACAGAAAGGCACCTGTCGTCTTACACACCTTACAATCTTCCTGTGCCTTTATGACAGGCCATCTATTCTGAAGGTCCTTTCCGCCCTCATCTTTTTCTACTTAGTCAAAATCTCAGCCTTCAAAACAGATGTCATCTACTCTGTGACACACATGATCAGCACTTCCTCAATCACTCTGCTTCTTCAGTCACTTAAGGCTAAAATATGAATACTTGGCTGTATAGCATATTTGTAAAGCTACATAATTTTCATTTTGGTAAAAATAAGGCAGGCATTTTCTAAACATAGCAGGTGGCCTGGCACTGCTCTCATCCTCAGATAAGCCCTTCAAGGAAAATAAGACCACAAAAAGAGATCTCAACAAGTAGCCCAACACCTAATTTTGTACTTTTCAACATTTGTATTTATCTGAAGATCATTTTATAAAAAGGCTTGTATTATAGCATAAACTATATAGGCTGCAAACAAATAGTGAAATATCTTTTGACAATTTTACAAAGCTAATTTTCATTTTGACTGTCATTCTTTTACTTGCCCCGGGGAGACATTTAAAATAGGGGGATGATTAGACAAAAGAACAAAACCACATCTAGCTTTCTTGAGCCACTCCCAGGAAACGTTTCTAATGCAATCAAGAAAGGGGGGGTTTATAATACAATGTGTCGTTAGAGATGCTAAGTTCAACTACAGTTTCCCAGGTAAGAATGCTGGATAGCCAGGAGGACGCTTCTTGAACAGCACTTTCTCAAGGAGTAGCACTGCATGGTTACAACTAGCCCATGGCGAAGTTGCTGAGCAACAGTGTCTATCCCATGCACAGCTTTCTCTAGTACCTAAAACACACCTGGAAGGCAGTACAGAGTATTTGCCTGGAGGTGGTGGCACATACCTTTAATCCCAGCACTTGGAAGGCAGAGGTAGGAGGATCTCTGAGTTTGAGGCCAGCCTGATCTACAGAGTGAGTGCCAGGATAGGCTCCAAAGCTACACAGAGAAACCCTGTCTCGAAAAACAAAACAAAACAAAACAAAAGGTAGTACAGAGTGAATGAATGGGTAGATGGATGGATGGATGAGCAGTTCTAATCTCATGGTACTAAAAATCTATCAAATACAAATCAAACTGGTATAAAACATTTCTTCAGGGTTTTGAAAAAAAAGCTGACTCAAAGTCTTTAAATAGTAATTACATAACATTAATGGCATATGAAAGTTGGGCTAACAAAAAATCTCATTAACAATATGCAACTTTATAAAATTCTCAACAGATCAAAAGCAAAATGATACTTTGACAACCATACCTGCTTCTTCAGGCAGTAATCATTGTAGGAAAACTGAAAGCCATTTAAAATAAAACAGTACAAAGACCTTTGAAGCATGCCATTACAGAATCAAGATTCATGGTTGGGGGAGAATGGCTTCCTTGGAAACCCATCTGCCAAGTATGATGAGGACTTGAGTTTGCTCTTCAGAACCCAAGCAAATGTGCAATACTATCTTAGTGCTGGGAGGTGGAGACAGGTAAATAAATCCCCAACTGCTGGCCAGCCAGCTCAACTAAAGCAGCAAGCTCCACACCAACTGAGAGTCCTGTCTCAAAACACAAGGTCTTTAAAACCAAAACCAAACCACAAAACAAACAAACAAGACAAGGTGGAAGGTACCTGAGGACACCATTCAAGGATGACCTTTGACCCACATACCACACTCATATAAACAAATGACCCGAGCTTACATAACATAAAGTACAACTAGGAAAAAACATCAACTTTGCTTTCAGAAAGCATTAACACAGTAGGTAATGGTATCTCTAATAGCTGGGCTCTGACAGTTCTCTAAAGACACACTTACTACTTGCTTCTGTTTTGTTTTTGAGACAGAGTCTCACTGTGTAGCCCTGGATGGCTTGGAACTCACTATGTAGACCCCGCTAGTTTCATTCACAGAGATCTGTTGGGATTAAAAGTGTGTGCCATCATGTTGAATTTGTAAATATTACAAACAGAAAACATGGTTTGCATGAAGCCAATCAACAATCTAATGTAAGTATCCTAAGCCCCAAGAAAAATATCATGTATCAGTTTAAAGTTATAAAACACCAACCTCTTTAATCTCATGTAGTTTTCACTGGCAGCAGGTCGGCATTCCGCTCTCTGTACCACTATTCCTTCCAATGACAGTTTATCTTGAATGGAAAGGGAAAAACTGTATTCAGAGATAACATTCATCATTTCCAAGATGGCATTTTGACACATAACTAAATGTAATTCATAGAATCCAAGGAAACAAAAGGATAGTATTGAGCTGATAGCAACATTATTTATCAGAATAGAGAAATGTCATTCTTGAGGAGACTTTTTGCTTGTTTCTTGAGCTGCACTGCCCTTTGTCAACAACAGCTTTAAACACACTTAGACTAAACAGACCTAAAAGGGCACACAATCAAATGAAAAGGTGAAGGATTCCATCTGTAACACAAGTAACTTCTGGAAATACAGTAAGTCTAAAGCACTAAATCGAAGATACATACATACACATAAATGAGGTTCTAGAAAAGCCAACTAAGAAGATACTATGAAACTGGTCAACTCCTTATCTAGGCTACACTGTATACTCTGAATCATAGATGATAAAGTGTGTCAACATGAATCTATAAGCTGAGGAATGCATATGTTTGTAGTCATAGCACTGGGAGGGAAGATACGGGGGATTACATATTTCTGGCCAGCCTGGGCTACACAGCAAGACAAGTAAACAGTGAAGTTACTATAAATATTTGCCTAAACAGAAATGCAATTTTCTTCCTTTTAGTGACCCTGACTTAAAACCAGGAGAAACAGAAAAGGGAAATAAAAGCCTGGACCTTGCAAGCCCACTGGCATCAGGTGCTGTGGCAGAGTGAAGTTGATGGATCTGGCCTACTATGTAAGAGGCAGCTTTATAAAAACCTGAAAACTAAAACTGTGGTTAGAAACAGCTACTGGTCAGTCATTTCCATGAGAATTCACTCAGAGAAGAGACTAAGAGAATCTTCTGACTGAAGAAGAATGCACTGATTCATCTCTTCATTCCACTAATGTAAATGACTACCATGCAAAAGCACCATGTGGGCATTGCCGAATCAAGATGATTAAGACACGGCACTGTCTTCGCAAAGCACATGTTTCTATAAGAACAGTGACACACCAAATAAAATGCGACTCATACAGAACCACATCTACACAATCAACAACAACAAAAAATCTTCTAGTGATTTTCCTAGATTTTTGTCTTCAAAATTCAAGGAGTTATATAGCCTGTGGTCCTAAATACTAATTATGAAACGCCATCTGAATTAAATATTCCCAGAGTACCTCAATACAGTGGCTAAGAGGCACCTGGAAAGCACAATGACAAGACCCACACCTACTGCACACTAAGGGTGTGCTAGGAAATCAGTACTGTACAAGTCATAATTCTTTACATTTTAAACCTGAAAATAAGTCTCCATCATGAGTAAAGTTAGTAAAACTAAACTTAGAATTTTCTCAGAGAAATTGCAAATCTTATATCCTAATTGGTATCTCTGGTGAAACTCAGAGTCCTAAACAAGAACATGCTCCAGTCTCACAATAATAAAATCTGGAAAATTCTGACGTATTTTGTTCCTAAGTATATGAGGAAAAGTTGAACCCTAGACAGTAAAAGAGGCTTTGTCTAAAACAAAGTAAGTCTAGGATAGAATCCTGATAACACATCTACCTCTAACCCAAGTATTTACTAATGTTGAATGCTAAGATGGCTACCTTTAATACCATTCTCTGTTAATGCTCCCCACCTATTTAGTAGTATCTACTCCAAGAGGACACACTGAACTTAATTCCTAAGGGTTCAACTTTCTCCACATACGTAACAACTGAAAGGGTGGGAAGGGAGTTCAAGAACCCTGCTCATTTCAACTTGACACTACGTTCTGTTCTTCAGTCAAGGCTACTCACACAGAGCAGTTAACATTCACTCCCTCAGACCACACTTTTCTGCTTACCATCCTTTCAGACCTAAAACTGCTTTCAAATGCTACTCAAGTTAAAGGGAAAGTCTTAATTATTAGCAATGAATTTTTCCATCAACTGGCTGGTGTTAGTGAGCTATCTGTTTCTGTTATTCCCTCTCTTACTAGTTTAGGCACCTCCTAACATGATTTGCCTGTTCTCTGTTTAAAGCTAACATGTACTTCTCAAAGTCTCATGGGAACATGCCCTTGTATTTTCCCAATGAACCACGCATCATTACTTCAACACATTAATTCAAGGGAAAGATATTAAACATGAAAATCTAGCTCAAAGCACCCACTTGCACACCATTGCTGGTAATTACAAACTATAAATACAAAACAAATTTATAATTTCATAATTATAAAAATTATAATCGGGGACAGCAGAGATGACTGCAGCCATTCTCAAATGTGTGTTCTGTGCCATATATTCTTAGAAGTAGCATGATTTCAGCATTCCATGATAACACACACACACACACACACACACACACACACACACACACACACAAACACCCCCCAAAATAACACACAACATCCCCAAAACAAATTAGGTTTATTTGTGATTTTACAAAAAATTTCAAAATTCAATACATTTACACTGTCTTTTGTTTTGTTTGTGAGACAAAGTCTTTCTATATAGCCATGACTGATGTAGAACTTTCAGAGATCCACCTGATTCCATCTCCCAAGTTTTGGGATTAAAGGCCTGTGCCACCATACCCAAAATAATGTTCTTTAAATTAAATTGAATTCCTCTTTATGCATATCTGCGAGTGCCTGTGTGAGTATGTGATTTGTGTGCAGGTGTCCACAGAGGTCAGAGGTCTCAGATTCTCTGTGGCAGGAGTTACAGGGGTGTTGAGCCACTTGACATTGGTACTGGGAACAGAACACTTGTCCTCTGGGAGAGTAACTTAAAATGTGTATATACACGTATATGCCCCCTATGTGCAAGTGCCCCGAGAGACCAGAGGAGGGAGTTTAATGTCTTAGAGCTGGAGTTCCAGGTGGCCATGAGCACCAGGTGTGGTGCTGAGATATGAACCTGGGTTCTTTGGAAGGGCATCAGTGTTCTTTCTGCCAGGCCAGTACTCTAGGACCTGACTTATTTATGGATCTGTAAACACTGAAAACAAGACATTTCTGGAGACTATGAGGGAAAAGAGCTGAGCTCACAAGACTCTTGTCATATTCAGGTCTAGTAAGATGGGGAAAAGGTACACAAGCAAATTCAATATAATGGAAGCATTGGACATACCTCTTTAATTTATTCCCAGATTAACATAGGCGCCCATTTACCCACTATTAAATACAGTGACAGATGCCCACAGCTCGCCACACACTAGTGGGTAGTAGGTTAATCTCAAGCACTCCCACATACTTCTGCTCAAACTTGTTGATGTTAGTTTAAGTAATTATGTAATTTGATCATGGTTCAGATAAGCTTATTAAATTAAGAAGGGGTGTGGCACCTGGGGCTGTTTCTATGTAAGTCTTCTGTCAAAGACTTGTAAAGGTAAATTGCTTTTTAAAACACAGTTTCCAGTTTGTTATGAAGCTAGAGACAGAAGATGAGCATATCTACATGTATTTGATTAGTGTTACTGCAGTATCTAAATTCTTGCTTTGTGACCGAAGGAACCAAAACTGATCGTTTTAAATTATAGGTTTAATTTCCACAAGAAAGAGAAAGCAGATGGTCAATGGGCATCCACCCTCAACTCTAAGCAAAGCTTTATCTTACATTACTAAACAAGCAGCTAAACACTTTAAAAGTCCTGAGATAAAGCACAGGAATACATACTAATCACGTCTTTTATTTATTTTGAGACAGGACTCACCATGTACCCCTGAAACTTGCTAATGAAATCATTTCCAGCCATCTAACTGAACTGAACATGGTCCTCCCATATTACCCAGGGGATTCTACTGCACAAAGTGACTATACTAAGACTACAAGTGCTACACAGCTGACACTCAGAGTTAAACACAGAAAGATATATCCAGCTGGGGATCAGAAAGAGCTCTGTTAGAATCCCCGATGACTGGGAAGATTTAGAGAAAGTAGGAATAGGAATGATAAAGGAACTGAAGGTGGCTGGAACAGCCTTGGCAGTGGCTTTTGACAAGCCCCAGACACTCTCTTATACTTGGAATTTTCAGCTCAGAAACTCAAACCACCAATGCCTAGGACCACATGATCATGTCTACTATTTGCCAAGAGGACACACAAGCTCATTCTAGTGAGAGCCTTCAATCACTAGCTCTCCCCTTCCCTTCCCAACTTTTCTGTGGATGATGGAAATAAAGAACCAAACACTTAGCTGGCGTGGTGGCGAATGCCTTTAATCCCAGCACTCAGGGAGGTAGAGGCAGGTGGAGCTATGTGAGTTCAAGGCCAGCCTGGTCTACAGAGAGAGTTCTAGGACAGCCAGGGTGGTTATATGGAGAAACCCTGACTCAAAAAAAACAAAGACTCAAACACTTAGATCTTTTCTAACATGCCCACCTCTTAGGTCAGATTGGTTTATTCATTTCTGTTCTTGTTTTATAGCCAAAGACTCTAATAAATATAACAGGAACAGAGAGGAAAAAATAGAGTAAGTAAATAAAATATACCCTAAAGACATATTTGTAGGCTGCCAATGCCATTCTGTTGAAGAACTGGACGGGAAGTAAATAGTTAAAGTCACCTCTAGCTTCAGCAAGTTAGACTAGTAAGTAAGCAGGAAGGGTTCGTGCTACCACTGGCATGTGAGCAATGAGATCAGCTAGGTTAGGATGTCCTCAGGCATCCAGAAGTTAGCTAATTCATTTCCACAAGACTACTTGGGATCCATGTGCATGTGGACACCTTTGAGGACACTTCCAACTCCAGCTACTTACTAAGACTTGGAGCAGAGGGCCCTCTACACTTCCGAAGTGACTCTCACAAATCACTCCTGCGTCTACCATCTTTGAAGAGAAGTCTTCTAACAACCATGTGCATCTAAAAGGTAAATGATTTCTAATATTCCCAGTAGTCTCCTCTCTCCTCATTTAGTATATTTTTCTAGCAGTTTTCTCCCTGGGGATATTTGGGTAGGGCCACTTGGCACCTTAACAAATCAGGTAAGTGAATCAGGTAAATGAATCCCCCTTTATTAAAA